AGAAGATATTCTGAAGATTTCTCTGTGTTTTTAGTCCGTACAATAGAAGTCAGTTGTTACCAAAATTCTTTAGATACAAACATTCTTTAAAAAAAAAAAAAAATCTTATTTTCTGTTCTGCAGAAGAATGAAAGTTATACAGGTTGGGAATTAATTAATTTATTCATTTTAAATGAAATAAATTAAAACAATTTATTTTAATTATTAAAATTTTTGTACAGTACTAATATATTTTAAAATGTTTAATTTTGGATTTATAGGATTAAAGCAAAACCATTCCAAGTACCTGGCTATTGTTTATACTTGGAATAGCATACTAGCATACTACTCTTATTATTCATGCAGTGTGCAGTATGCTAATTTAATACTTACATGACTTTTGCCAAAATGTGCAATATACAACAGAACACACACTGCACAGAATACTATATCCCATAATGCAATACAACTGACTTGACCTTCCATCTCCAGAGTGATGGATGAATGAGAAATAATATCAATGTCATTTTTAATGTATGTTGTATATGCATAATTATTTTATCAAACTTCCAAAAGTGAAGGCATTTTCTGAAACTTTTCTGAATACAACAACCTTAAAGGTATAGTTGACCCAAAAATGGTAATTGTAAATGTCTACTTTTTTTAATACAATTAACGTCACAGAGACATTTTTCAAAATTTCTTCTTCTATGTTCCACAGAAGAAAGTAAGTCTGTCACACCCCTGGACTCTTTGTGTTGTATTTTCCCTCCCCAGGTGTGCCGTGTTCCCTTTAATTAGTCATTCCTTGCACCTGTGTTTCCCCAATCACCCACTTCCAAAAGTGAAGGCATTTTCTGAAACTTTTCTGAATACAACAACCTTAAAGGTATAGTTGACCCAAAAATGGTAATTGTAAATGTCTACTTTTTTTAATACAATTAACGTCACAGAGACATTTTTCAAAATTTCTTCTTCTATGTTCCACAGAAGAAAGTAAGTCTGTCACACCCCTGGACTCTTTGTGTTGTATTTTCCCTCCCCAGGTGTGCCGTGTTCCCTTTAATTAGTCATTCCTTGCACCTGTGTTTTCCCAATCACCCAGTGTTTAAAAGCCCCAGTCCTTTCAGTTAATGTTTGTCGGTCCTCAAACATCATTCCTTGTGTTCCAGTGTCTCCTACATTCCCCGTGTGATCATTAAAGACTCTCTCGCTCCTTGCCTACCGAGAAGTGTGACAAAGTCACACAGGTTTAAATTTGTGGGTGCACTATCCCTTGGCACCACTGCATTAAACATGCACATAATAAGGTCATATGACAGCACAGTATCATTCTACTATCATAGCATAATGCGCAGTTTAACAAAAAAGCAGTATAAAGTGTGAACTATGCAGAACACCAGTATTCCATCCAAACAGAGCTGCTGTATTTTTCACACTCATACTCATTAAATGAAAATAGCCTCTGCTTGGATTTGTGGGTGAATGTCTATCATTAAGGGAAAGAGACACTGTGAGCTCTGCCAGAATTTTCAGTCTTTCACAACACCAAGTGCACAACGAATACAGAAAATGATGTGCAGAGGGGAGCTACGTTAGGACAGCAAGGTGACAATCGCATGAACTTTGCTGTCCAGCTGGACCGCACAGCAGCGCTGAAAGGGCCAGGCCAGGGAAGCGACAGATGCATTACATCAAACTGAGACACCGGATATTACTCTCTAGAAAAACAGTGACGTCTTTATGAAACTAATAAGGTTGGGCGCGAGCACCAGCTGCCAGTCCAATCTCTACTGTTATGACTGGAATAGTGAACAAAGTGGCCTTCGACTGTCCATCTGTCCATCACGAATCACAGAGCTCGCAATACAGCAGCAGTCGACGGAGAAAGTTGACAGTCTTTAATAAGGTTAAAAGAGCAATAAAAAAGTGTATGTGAGTGACACAAGGTGACGGTCACAAAGGCTGTAGAAATGCGGTGTCACTCAGAAACCAGGCTGCTGTTTGATAGTGCTACCCTTCTGCTCTCTCTCGCCGTCATATACAGAAACAGCCGACGCTAACAACAGTCAGCCGTCAACTCGGTTTATACTAAATGGCTGTTTTAAGTTGGAAAGTGCTCATACTATGCTGTTGGATGCAGCTCGGGGCAAAGCAAGAAAACTCACTTAACTTCAGAGGTGCTGGTGTGTGAAAACGGATAGAAATTTTTATTCTATTACAACACTATGAGTCATTTTTTATTCTATGAGTAATTCTATTACTCAAAAATGAATAAAAGAACAGCACTCTGCCACAATGCTCTCAAACTCTATTTCAATAGTGGACAAAACAACGTTTTAACCCTTTCAGCCTTCGTCAGATAGACCTTGTCTGGAAATTCCTTTTTCTGAGCAAAGACTGGGAACATCTTCAAAAAGAGTATCTTTTAAGATGATTCCTTTATAATCTTCCTTTGTGAATTAAAAAATGTGTTGCTTATTGCCACCTTTTTTGATGAAAAACTCACCAAATCTCATGAGAATGTCATCGGGTGGAGTGCAACACAAAACCAGTGTTACTACATGAAATGTTATATGCGCATCCAAAACAACTTTAGAGCAGGTTCATGACCAAAATCATCGAAGAAGGCCTTCAAAAAACAAAAACAAAAGGACAGCATATTGTCACTATGCTCTCAAACTTTATTTTAATAGTGGACAAACAACATTTTAGCCTACCTTTTCAATTCTATTATCACCCTCATGTGGTCCCAAACTTTACGTCTTTCATTCCTCTTCGAAACACAAGTGAACATATTTTTAATGAAACCTGAGAGATTTCTGTCCCTCCATTGAAAGTCCATTCCACCAAAATTTGTATACTTGGAACAAATAGTTTCAAAAATTTCCTTGACGCACAAGAACCGACAAGGTTAGTTCTCACGTCATGCAAACACATTTAAGCTTCCAGTTACCATAACTGATGTGCTCTGTGTGTATGTGCGTTGATCAATATTTATATGTGAATAAAAGCCTAAATTAAACCTGTCCATTATGTAAAGCGATCATGTCTCTTCAGAAGACTCGGATTAAACTGCTCAATTCACATGATTTGTTTTATAATCTCTTTATGGACTTTTTTAAGCGTCAAAGTTTCGGAATGGACTTTCAAAGGAGGGATAGAAATCTCTCAGGTTTCATGAAAAATATCTTCATTTGTGTTTAGAAGATAAACAAAAGGCATACAGGTTTGGAACAACATAAGGGTGAGTAAATGATGACAGAATTGAGATTTTTGGGTGAACTATCCATTTAAATGTCCAAACACTCGCTTTCTGCTTACTAATGGCAAATGGCACACCTGCGAGAGCCCCCGCTTCATGTCGCAATAACAATTCAATCTACATCCAAACCTGCCAATAAAAATCACAGGACCGTGAAAGTGCTAATTAACAATAATTCCATCACAATTGGTTTAGCCCAGCTTCCCAAACTGGGGTGCTCGAGAGAATGATTTTGATGATCTGTGTGATTATCTTTCCATTTTTTCCCAACATTTCATATTTGTATATTTAAAAAAAAACTGATTTAAAACACCAAGCTCATAACATTATTTATGCTGTTGTAATTTTGCAGTGTAAATGCATTCATGCTACATTTCAGCTTCATTAAACAGGCCCGGCGCTACATGGGGCAAAGGAGGGCATGCCCCCCCCAGTTTTCTTAACGAACGTTAATTATTAAAACCGATAATGGATAATTCACCGTCTGAGCGCATAAAGTTGTGTTCGATTTATGCACATCGATCAGCGTCTGACTTGAAGCAGTGTATGCCATCAAAGTAGGCTACCGCAAGAGCGTTTCGCAAGCAGACGGCTGATTATGGTCATCGCAGTTTCTCCAGGGCAGCTGCATGAGCTCTGATGATGACAGCTAATTCACGATTAACCAAACTCACATTTCATGTCGTGTTTTAATAGTTTTACAAACTCTTTTCATGTTATATTAATGCTATAGTGTATTGTATCGTGTTTATCAAAATAAAACAGATAAAAAAAGTAAATTTACACAAAAGACTTTGTTCTACATTGTTCTACATTGTTCTCACTTTGACAACATTTCTGTCATTATTCTTAAAGTAATGTAAATTATGGTGGCCTGGATGAGACTCCCGGCCTGGCAGAAATTTTGTCCCAGACCGGCATTATATAATTTGTGAATATTTGTAAATATTTGTGGCTTGAAACAGCTGGAAAATTGAAAGTGTACTGCAGCTCTATGGATGTTTTGCCATTCAGGTAGGGTTATTAAAGTTAACTAAAATATTAAAAACATTTCTGTTAACTGAACTAAAGCTGAAATAAAATAACATAAATGTAAACAATTCTATGAATCGGGAAAAACGGAATAAAACCACATATATAAAATTAATAAATAGCCCTATTCGTGAAATATATTTGACTTATATTTACAAAAGGGAAAAATGCCCTTTAAACAGGCAAAAAAAAAACAAACCTAAAAACCTGGAAATCAATTTAAATAAATTTTAGTAAGCAGTAACTTTAGTCATATAAAACGTAAGCCAACAACAAAATTGTGGCCAGTGAAAATGCTGAGTGGCTAGTAATTTTGGAAAACCACTAGCCACAGTGGCTGGTGAGCAAAAAAGTTAATGTCAAGCCCTGTATACAGTGAATATTTGTATTATTGCAGTTATGTGACATTTAAGAAATGTGGTGTTTAATGGAGTAAGGTGGTGGGGGTGCTTGACACGTGTCAAACGCTAGAAAGGGGTGAACGCTGCAAAAAGCTAGACTGAGTAAAATCTGAGTTTGCTTTCTACACGTTTTCGATTAAGCATTCTGATTGAGGATCGAGGAAAAAAAACAATGTGCTTTTAGAGGATTTCTCCACCTTTACATCACATCTGTGCGACCGCGGCCAGGAAATCTCATTCTGTTCCTGGCAGACAGAAGCATAAACTCAGATAATGGCAAGTTTTACTGGCTAATAGGCTGGTGTGGCCGAGAGTTACTTTACCTGCCTTAGGCCATCCCTGCTGTTCTGCATGATCTGGAGGGCATAGTTCGAGCGCTGGCCTTTGCTGTTGAACTCAATGTGGCCTGTTAGACCTTCCAACTCTACCTATCCGGAGAGAGAGAGAGAGAGAGAGAGAGAGAGAGAGAGAGAAAGACTAATTCTAAAATGTGTACATAACATCGAACTTTAACGATATCTGCATTGATATATGCAATACATTTATGTTGGTTCTGTTCTGTTTACCCTGGGGGGGTTATCGCTGCTCTCCCTGCTCTCATCCATGCTAGGCTGCATGGATGCGCAGGGAGTTCTTGCCCAGAACGGAACCATACCGCCAATCCAAACTGTATGCTAATTGTCAATCATCTTTGACGATAGTGGTCCTGACAGAAATATGTATTTGGCAGATGCCTTTATCCAAAGGGATTTACTGGCAAAAATGTAATGATCATACATCTGTTTTTAATTAAATGTTTTAAATTAGTCTGTAAAGTCTGTAATTTTTAATCTAAAACCATTCAAAAATTTGGGGTGGCTAAGATTTTGAAAATGTTTTTAAGTCTCTTATGCTAATCAAGGCTGCGTTTATTTGATAAAAAAAATACAGTAAAAACAGTAATGTTGTGAAATATTATTACAATTTAAAATAATTGGAAAACTGTGAAAACATAAAAATAATGTTTTCTATTTTAAAACATTTTAAAATGTAATTCATTCCTGTGATGGCAAAGCTGAATTTACAGCAGCCATCACTCCAGTCTTCAGTTTCACGTCATCCTTTTGGATTCAAATATGCGGGTAATTCTAATTGGTGCTCTAGAATCATTCTAATTATTACTGTTGAAAACAATTTTGCTGCTTAATACTTTATGGAAACCAAAATACTTTTTGGGATAATTTTTTGGAAATATAAATATTTGTATAATATAAACTTATTATATTGTATATATACTATTATATATATACCTCTGCGGTTGTAAAATTAAATGTTCAAAAAAGCACATGGATAGGGGTGTTTGGGTGTCTGGATGCATTTGACCATGTAGAACATCATTCAGACATTTCATCGTTGATCATTGTGATACAACCACCACTTCCTTTGCCCCCACAGCCCCCTGGAACTGAATTACTGACCACTTTAACTACATCAGATGGCGTGTTAATGCACTGCAGCAAAGGCTGTAGAGTTTCCTTTTCCTCTGACATCCATTACAGTGCTAAAGCTTTCTGTAATGAGGATATGTTATGCTGCATTATGGAACAACGCAGCAGCTTAGAGGAGGTGGAGATGTGCGTGTGTGACACACGTCTGGTTTGTCATATCCTTGTGGGGACTCTCCATAGGCGTAATGGTTTTTCTACTGTAGACCGTATATTCTATTGCCCTACACCAACCCTACACCTAATACCCCTTACAGGAAACTTTCTGCATTTTTAGATTTTCAAAAAACGTAATTCTGTGTGATTTATTAACTTGTACACACACACACACACACACACACACACACACACACAGTCTAACTATTCTGGTCACATTCAGGGAAACATCCTGGCTGCTCTCATTAGGCAAATGTAGATGACAATGTGTGTGCGCAGCCGACTGAGGCAGATATGCAGGTTCGCTGGTTAATCTCTGCACAGACTAGCCAGTCTAGTCTTTAGCTAATGAAGTCCGGGGCTTAAATATCTGTTCAGTTAGTGTCTCCCATATCAAACACATTGGGCTAAGCTAGTTTTTAAGGCCTTGCATTTCTAGGCCAGTGTGTAACACAGAGCTGAGCCTCTCTGTGGGGTTTAGACCTGTTATCTTTCTGCCAGACTACAAACCATCCTCTGATTAATTAAAGATTAGACCTAATTAAATGAGAAATGCAACCAGGGCTAGTTTCTAAAAGCAGAAGGCATTTATATTTCAAAAGTCTTACCCGTTCAGCTTTAATTAGAATACAAAAATGTAAAAGTAATTATTATGACTTACTTGCATATATCAGATTAAGAAATGCATTGCCACCCGATCTTTGATCGGTTTTTCTTTTTTTCTTCCCTGGGTGTTTGATTAAGTACAGACTGGGACTGAGATCAGGAATAATACATTATACAGATGTTTTCATTTCCAAAGTAATGGAAATAACTGTGCTGACGTGAACATGCAGGGTGTGTGTATTCCTCAGGGTAAGCATGTGACTTTTTGTGATGAATTATACAGCCATAGCCTCGACTTCAAGGTAAGCAAGGGGACATGGCTAGTAGGCTGTTTCAAATTAACTAACTCAGCATCCTTGAGTTACAAATAAATGACTTATTTCGGAACATGGACTAGACATAAACATTTTTTTTAGCATAGTTCACCCAAAAATAAAAATTTTGTCATCATTTAGACACCCTCATGTTGTTACACCTCTTATTTGTCATAGTAAAAGCTCAAATAAGATGTTAGGATGGAGGTCCAAGTTGCTCTTGTCCATAAAATTAAAGTGAATTTATGATGTCAAGCTCTAAAATAAGCAAAAAAGTATCATACATGTAACCTACAGTGAACATATGGCTACTTTTATGATGTTTTTTTTTGTCCTTTTTGGAGTTAGTAAGGACAAAACATGATATGGAAATAGGCTGCTTGGACATTCTGCCTAAAATCTCCTTTTTTGTTTCATGAAAGAAATAAAGTAAATAATTTCATTTTTGGGTGAACAGTCTCTTTAACATTGATTCAATCATGCATATTCAACACAACTTTAACTAAGAGTTTCTCAGCCTTACTGGTGTTCCTGCAAAAGGAGCATGATCACAATTCTCCTGCCAGGATCGATTGAGGCTGAGGACGAAGTCCTGAAAGAAAGGATGTGTTCTATTGAAGACTGAAAACCCGACGATGTTGACTCGTTGATCAGCTAAATCGTCCAATCGTAGCAGAGAGAATTCCTGCAAGGGAAGAGAAAACCAATATGAGTGCTTCTTATCAAGATGCCAAGCTCAGGTCCCTTGTCAAATCTAAACAACCTAATGATGCCCATAGGAAGTAAAACAATATCGTCAAGCTCATTAACAAGCACTGAGGTAATTCTGCCAATTCCTGGGCCAAGTAATTCAATTCAGCAAAAGTTAATGCTTAGGAGAGCAAATCCCAGCAGCTATTGTGCTTCAGATCCAATGAGAAGCACTTTGGAGATCATGCGAAAGCCGGTGAAAAAAGGTCCACAGTGTTGTCAGTCTGCGTCCCGGCACATGCAGTACATCTACTGAAGGTTAATAGAGATGTCCCTGCAGTTCCTGCTGACACTATTACAGTCTATGACTCTGTCACCGTCACTGGCTCAGGGGACACTGATGATGTGTGTCGGGCTTGTTTACATCAGAGTGTGCAAACATATAACAGTGTATTTTATGATTTTATATTTTCACAAACATACACACGTCAATCGCTACTTACCGGCATACACTACGCCTATCAAGTAAGGGTACTGTTGGCAGTTGAAACACAATCCAGATTAGGGTGTTCCGTCCCGAATTGTACCGTTCTGTACTATACTGAACCGTACCGTTCGGTGGAAACGAGCCATAAATGAGAAAAGATGAGACTAGATGAGAAGAGAAGGATGAAGTGAGACTAGGACGACAAAGAAGAAAGAAGAATACATGGGAAGAGATGAGATGAGAGTAGACAGAATGAACTGAGACTAGATCAAAGAGAAGAGAAGACTAAATGAGAAAAGATGAGATGAGAAGAGAATGGAGGAACTGAGACTAGACCACAAAGTATAAGAGATGAGACTAAATTGGAAGATATGTGTTGAAATCAGATGACAAGAGACGAAACAGAATGAACTGAGACTAGAAAACTGAGAAGAGAAGATTAAATAAGAAAGTATGAGATGAGACTAGATAAAAAGAGAACGGATGAAGTGAGACTAGATGACAAAGAAGAGAGAAGACTAGATAGGAAGAGACGAAATGAGACTAGATGAGATGAGAAAATGAACTGAGACCAGATGACAGAGAAAAGAGGACTAAATGAGAAAGGATGACAAGAAATGAGGTGAGACTAGATGAGAAGAGTATGGATGACTAGACAACAAAGAAGAAGAGAGAAGAATACATGGTAAGAGGTAAGATAAGATGAGACGAAGCAGATGAAATGAAACAGAATGAACTGAGGCTACATGAGAAGAGATGAGATGAAATTAGATTAGACAAGACTAGAAGAGACGAAACAGAATGAACTGAGACTAGATGAGAAATACATGAGAACGTCTCTAGGTTACGTATCTAACCATGGTTCCCCGAGGGAACGAGACGCTGCGTCGAGTCGCTTTGGGAACGCCCTTGCGTGACCGCGTTCTGAAGCACGTGTCAAATCAGTCCAATGGAGCAGCGAGACGTCACGAGCAGGGTGACGTCTCGCTGCTCCATTGGACTGATTTGACACGTGCTTCAGAACGCGGTCACGCAAGGGCGTTCCCAAAGCGACTCGACGCAGCGTCTCGTTCCCTCGGGGAACCATGGTTACATACGTAACCTAGAGACGTTCCCCTTCAGGAACTCGAGCTGCGTCGAGTCGCTTTGGGAACGCCCTTGCGTGACCGCGTTCTGAAGCACGTGTCAAATCAGTCCAATGGAGCAGCGAGACGTCACGAGCAGGGTGACGTCTCGCTGCTCCATTGGACTGATTTGACACGTGCTTCAGAACGCGGTCACGCAAGGGCGTTCCCAAAGCGACTCGACGCAGCGTCTCGTTCCCTCGGGGAACCATGGTTACATACGTAACCTAGAGACGTTCCCCTTCAGGAACTCGAGCTGCGTCGAGTCGCTTTGGGAACGCCCTTGCGTGACCGCGTTCTGAAGCACGTGTCAAATCAGTCCAATGGAGCAGCGAGACGTCACGAGCAGGGTGACGTCTCGCTGCTCCATTGGACTGATTTGACACGTGCTTCAGAACGCGGTCACGCAAGGGCGTTCCCAAAGCGACTCGACGCAGCGTCTCGTTCCCTCGGGGAACCATGGTTACATACGTAACCTAGAGACGTTCCCCTTCAGGAACTCGAGCTGCGTCGAGTCGCTTTGGGAACGCCCTTGCGTGACCGCGTTCTGAAGCACGTGTCAAATCAGTCCAATGGAGCAGCGAGACGTCACGAGCAGGGTGACGTCTCGCTGCTCCATTGGACTGATTTGACACGTGCTTCAGAACGCGGTCACGCAAGGGCGTTCCCAAAGCGACTCGACGCAGCGTCTCGTTCCCTCGGGGAACCATGGTTACATACGTAACCTAGAGACGTTCCCCTTCAGGAACTCGAGCTGCGTCGAGTCGCTTTGGGAACGCCCTTGCGTGACCGCGTTCTGAAGCACGTGTCAAATCAGTCCAATGGAGCAGCGAGACGTCACGAGCAGGGTGACGTCTCGCTGCTCCATTGGACTGATTTGACACGTGCTTCAGAACGCGGTCACGCAAGGGCGTTCCCAAAGCGACTCGACGCAGCGTCTCGTTCCCTCGGGGAACCATGGTTACATACGTAACCTAGAGACGTTCCCCTTCAGGAACTCGAGCTGCGTCGAGTCGCTTTGGGAACGCCCTTGCGTGACCGCGTTCTGAAGCACGTGTCAAATCAGTCCAATGGAGCAGCGAGACGTCACGAGCAGGGTGACGTCTCGCTGCTCCATTGGACTGATTTGACACGTGCTTCAGAACGCGGTCACGCAAGGGCGTTCCCAAAGCGACTCGACGCAGCGTCTCGTTCCCTCGGGGAACCATGGTTACATACGTAACCTAGAGACGTTCCCCTTCAGGAACTCGAGCTGCGTCGAGTCGCTTTGGGAACGCCCTTGCGTGACCGCGTTCTGAAGCACGTGTCAAATCAGTCCAATGGAGCAGCGAGACGTCACGAGCAGGGTGACGTCTCGCTGCTCCATTGGACTGATTTGACACGTGCTTCAGAACGCGGTCACGCAAGGGCGTTCCCAAAGCGACTCGACGCAGCGTCTCGTTCCCTCGGGGAACCATGGTTACATACGTAACCTAGAGACGTTCCCCTTCAGGAACTCGAGCTGCGTCGAGTCGCTTTGGGAACGCCCTTGCGTGACCGCGTTCTGAAGCACGTGTCAAATCAGTCCAATGGAGCAGCGAGACGTCACGAGCAGGGTGACGTCTCGCTGCTCCATTGGACTGATTTGACACGTGCTTCAGAACGCGGTCACGCAAGGGCGTTCCCAAAGCGACTCGACGCAGCGTCTCGTTCCCTCGGGGAACCATGGTTACATACGTAACCTAGAGACGTTCCCCTTCAGGAACTCGAGCTGCGTCGAGTCGCTTTGGGAACGCCCTTGCGTGACCGCGTTCTGAAGCACGTGTCAAATCAGTCCAATGGAGCAGCGAGACGTCACGAGCAGGGTGACGTCTCGCTGCTCCATTGGACTGATTTGACACGTGCTTCAGAACGCGGTCACGCAAGGGCGTTCCCAAAGCGACTCGACGCAGCGTCTCGTTCCCTCGGGGAACCATGGTTACATACGTAACCTAGAGACGTTCCCCTTCAGGAACTCGAGCTGCGTCGAGTCGCTTTGGGAACGCCCTTGCGTGACCGCGTTCTGAAGCACGTGTCAAATCAGTCCAATGGAGCAGCGAGACGTCACGAGCAGGGTGACGTCTCGCTGCTCCATTGGACTGATTTGACACGTGCTTCAGAACGCGGTCACGCAAGGGCGTTCCCAAAGCGACTCGACGCAGCGTCTCGTTCCCTCGGGGAACCATGGTTACATACGTAACCTAGAGACGTTCCCCTTCAGGAACTCGAGCTGCGTCGAGTCGCTTTGGGAACGCCCTTGCGTGACCGCGTTCTGAAGCACGTGTCAAATCAGTCCAATGGAGCAGCGAGACGTCACGAGCAGGGTGACGTCTCGCTGCTCCATTGGACTGATTTGACACGTGCTTCAGAACGCGGTCACGCAAGGGCGTTCCCAAAGCGACTCGACGCAGCGTCTCGTTCCCTCGGGGAACCATGGTTACATACGTAACCTAGAGACGTTCCCCTTCAGGAACTCGAGCTGCGTCGAGTCGCTTTGGGAACGCCCTTGCGTGACCGCGTTCTGAAGCACGTGTCAAATCAGTCCAATGGAGCAGCGAGACGTCACGAGCAGGGTGACGTCTCGCTGCTCCATTGGACTGATTTGACACGTGCTTCAGAACGCGGTCACGCAAGGGCGTTCCCAAAGCGACTCGACGCAGCGTCTCGTTCCCTCGGGGAACCATGGTTACATACGTAACCTAGAGACGTTCCCCTTCAGGAACTCGAGCTGCGTCGAGTCGCTTTGGGAACGCCCTTGCGTGACCGCGTTCTGAAGCACGTGTCAAATCAGTCCAATGGAGCAGCGAGACGTCACGAGCAGGGTGACGTCTCGCTGCTCCATTGGACTGATTTGACACGTGCTTCAGAACGCGGTCACGCAAGGGCGTTCCCAAAGCGACTCGACGCAGCGTCTCGTTCCCTCGGGGAACCATGGTTACATACGTAACCTAGAGACGTTCCCCTTCAGGAACTCGAGCTGCGTCGAGTCGCTTTGGGAACGCCCTTGCGTGACCGCGTTCTGAAGCACGTGTCAAATCAGTCCAATGGAGCAGCGAGACGTCACGAGCAGGGTGACGTCTCGCTGCTCCATTGGACTGATTTGACACGTGCTTCAGAACGCGGTCACGCAAGGGCGTTCCCAAAGCGACTCGACGCAGCGTCTCGTTCCCTCGGGGAACCATGGTTACATACGTAACCTAGAGACGTTCCCCTTCAGGAACTCGAGCTGCGTCGAGTCGCTTTGGGAACGCCCTTGCGTGACCGCGTTCTGAAGCACGTGTCAAATCAGTCCAATGGAGCAGCGAGACGTCACGAGCAGGGTGACGTCTCGCTGCTCCATTGGACTGATTTGACACGTGCTTCAGA